CTCTTGTTTTTCTGGTGGTCGTAGGTTATATCCTGTCTTATTCCTTTAGGTTCATTTTGATGGAATCTTCGGAGAAAGGAGAATAAAAAACAACAACTCATGTACTCAGTCTGCCATCTTGAACCACAAAAATGAATGTATTATTTGCAATATTAGAAAATGGGACAATTTAAACATCCCTCAATAGAGAACTGTTTAAATAGATTATATTACCTCTGATGTATGGAATACTCTGTACTCAGAAAATAATGAATTAGCTTTATGCAGTAATATGAAAAGGTATGATATAATATTAAAGTAAAGGAGGAAACTGCAAAAAGTATGTATACTAACACCACTTTTAGAAGATACATATTTGTACTTCCACAAAGGACTGGAAGATGCACAGAGAACGGCTAAGAGTGGTCATTTATCTGCCTTAACACTTGACGGCAGTGGACCAGGTGTGGGGCTGGGACACAGAAGGAATCTCATCTTTTTGCTCTATATCATCTGTATTGTTCAAAATTTTTACAATGCATATGGAAAATCTTTGGGATTAATTGTCATACAAATATAAGACATCTTATTATTTAAATACTCCAGTCCTTCCTATATAGAGAGCTGCTCAACTGATAAATTAAAGGTTTGCAAATTATAGATGATCCATGATACCTGATTTTTTAAATGCTGGTGGTTATTATTATTGTTTAAAACTTTCAGGAAAACGTGCTTAACAGTAAAGCTATTGCCAGTTTATGTTTAAAAGCTTATAGACCTTTTAAAAATTTCTTCCAAGTCTAAGGCTCTGTGACAATGTTACATGTTGGCAGGTAGAACATGTCCTGTAGAATCAATTTGGCTAGGTATGCTTTTATGTCTGATTTCTGAACTGTTACATAATGACATTAGTAAACTGAGCTAGCTGAACTACGCCAACTTTGATATTTCAGCTAGAATAATTTTACAACATCTTATTATTAAGGAAGTGGTAAGGAATATAAAATGCCAATCATTTTAATAAAATTAGATTTAGCTTTTTATTTCCAAAGAGCAGGGTTCAGAATAACTCACATGCAAAAGGAGAATACATAGGCTTTAGCAGATACATGGGTTCCAAAGTCTTTTCCGTTAAAAAAAAATGTGTATCTAGGAATCTATAATCCACCAACTCGTCAGTATTTTGGAGTATGTGAGCAAATTCAAAGAAACACTGAAAAGTGGAGCTCAAGTCTGCAGAATTTCATTGGCTTCCAACCTAAAATGAGACAAATATTCTCTCCCCTAAAATCCGTGCACCATTAAAGGTCACAGTTTCTCTAGCTTTGCTCAGAGAATAGTGAGCATCGTGAAGTGCTGCGTTTGGCCTGTTGCCCCAGCTCCACGTGTGTCTGTCCCCCTGTGAGTTATGGCAGGGCTAGGGCCAGAACTCAGGCCTTCGGAATCTGAATCTAGAAACGTCCAGTTCTCGACGGTCAAACCAAATTAAGCCATAAACTCAAAGTCAGGTTGAATGCCCCATCACTATTTACATATTAGGCAAGATTTGGGGGATGCATGCCTCCTTCTTCTACATATGTGGTTTCTGATTTTTCAATGTCGATTTTCACATCCTCACTCTATAATTGCATCTTTAGTAAAGCTAGATCTTTCTTGAAGCAGGCAAAGTAAAGAATGTTCAATTTGAAAAATCAGAAGGCCAGGCACGGCAAAACGCTTGGAGACTGAAGTACTTACTATACATAGAGCATGACTCCTCTCATTAACTAGGTGACTGGCATATTGAGAACGTCACTCACATATTGAGGGTTTTAAAAAACCTTTTAAAATGAGGTGGTAAGACCATCTTTTCTGGCACTAATAATACAAATCCTTCTGTTTTCATAGAAATCTACTTTCTATTTCTAACAAGTTTGGAGAATTAGTCATTAAAAGATACCGAGTGTTTCACAAGAAAAAGCTTGATTTGCATTACAAATAACTAAAGCTAATTCTGGGAAACAACAGGGCACCTGAAAAAACCTTTAAAAGTTGTGCATTTTTTGAAAACAATGATAAAAATCTGAACTGTTTATTTCCTGTCTGTTGCCTATTCTACGGAACAGCTGTATGCGAACAGCCAAATCAATTTTGTGCATCGAGTCACATTTTTATACAAAATAGTTTTCCTAGCCAGGAATACGAGGTAAGAACACTGAAACCTTCATCATTACCTGGAAAACTGTAGAGAAACCCACCACATAGCTCTTTGAAAAACATTTAAGTGTCTGAAAATGTGTAACGTAAAAAATAGTCCTTGAACAGTTCAAAAACAGCTAGAGAGACCCATGCTCTAATCTCAAGCAATCCCATGCAATTTAACTTTTAAAATACACAGACCTGGGCGCCTGGGTGGCTCAGTTGGTTAAGCAACTGCCTTCGGCTCAGGTCATGATCCTGGAGTCCCGGGATCGAGTCCCGCATCGGGCTCCTTGCTCAGCGAGGAGTCTGCTTCTCCCTCTGACCTTCCCCCCCTCATGCTCTCTCTCTCTCTCATTCTCTCTCTCTCAAATAAATAAATAAAATCTTAAAAAAAAAATAAACAACATCTACCTTTAAAAAAATAAAATAAAATACACAGACCTGACAGAATAGGAGATTTAGCAGGATGCATGAGACAGGTAGAGAGAACACCTGTGATGAGAAGAAGACTATCTGGGGCGCCTGGAGGGGGGCCAGTCAGTGGGGCGTCCGACTCTTGGTTTCAGCTCCGATCGTGATCTCAGGGTGGTGGGATCGAGCCCTGCGTCTGGCTCTGTGCTCGGCGGAGAGTCTGCTGGAGATTCTCTCTCTCCCTCTCCCCTTCCCCCAACTCTCAAATAAATAAATAACTCTTTAAAAAAAAAAAGACCATTTAAAAGCCTGAATTTTATGATATGTGAATTGTATCAAAAGGAAAAAAAGAGCGTTCCAGTGCTTTAAATGATTTAAGTGCTGCAGACAGAAGCTCTGGATCATCAGCTCTGGAACCTTTCACTACAGTCTCCTCTTCTGTTTCCATTCTCCCTCCTGTGCCCACAGAACATCATGTAATATTGCCGATGGACTCTGGCTTTCTCCGGTACCCCACTGGTCTCTGGGCATCTACAAGGGTAAATGTGGCTTTCTGAATCACTCTCCCACTGAGTCTTTTTTAGCGGGACAGGGAAATTTGACTCCATGAAGCTTTGGTGCACTGACAAGGTCTCTGAGACAAAAGAAAGGGAATGGCCATTCGTTAATTGCTAATAAGTGACAGGGTTCTGAATATCTGTTATCCTATTGATTGTCACGAATACTTATAAGGTCAAGATTCTTACTCCCCTACTCTAGATGAAAATACTGAGGCTCTGAGAGCAGATTCCATTCAGACAACCGGTGGATATTCACCCAGGATTCTATCTTCAGAGGGCACAGCTTAAAACCAGCTTTCTAAACTGAGCAAGGGAAAATTTACTAAAAACAACACCAAGTTCATAAAAAAGTGGCATTATTTGCTGATGCATTGAATGGAATTGCACTTCGAATAATCCCCTGTAGAACACTTGCCATTCTAGAAGACAGGATATTCATGGAGATGTGATTTTCTAATATTAAAAAAAAAAAGAAGAAGGAAACACACAAAGACTATTTCCTCGCAACTAAAGACAACACCCAAACTACTCGTTGGAAAAACTAGGCTATCGCTACTTTGGCGGTGCCTGGGCTTGCCAGAGCAAATGGGACAGATTTCCCCTTTAGATGGACTTGTCTCAGAGTCTCCTCTGCCGTCCCTTCCTCCTCCTGCCAACCAATCCAGGCGAAGCGAATTTTGGTTACGCTTGCCCCAGTGCAGAAAGAAGAGCTGCAGCATCTGCAGTTATCAGGCCTGGAGTTACCTTCTGCGGTGTTCCTGGACTCGAAATTTGCAAAATTAATCCTCTCTCAGTGCTTGCAGCCATTGATTGCTGCATGGCCAATGGTGTACGAGAAGAACTCGGGTTCTGAGAATTGCTCATGGGTACTATATCTTGATAGACTACCACACTTGGAGATCGACTGCCTGGGTTCAAATCCCAGCTCCACCTTTTCCTTGCTGTGTGACCTTAGCAAGTTACATAATCTCTCTGTGCCTGTTTCCTTATCTATATAAAATGCGGATGGGAACAGCTCCTTTCCCCTAGGGTTGTTGAGAGGGTTCAGTAATTTAGTACATGAAAAGCACTAAGAATAGTGCCTGGCACATAACATCTGTGCTCTCTCAGTTCCTGTTCAAGAAATCATTAAAAAATGAAAATGAATATGGCTGTTCACTAAATGACTTGAAGAAATTGCTTTCCTTATATTACTTTGTTAACTAATCTGTGCATGCTCATGTGAATTAGGAATTGGTCAAAATGAATTCGTATGACCCGATTTGCTTTGCATAAAATGCAATCAGTCAGCAACCCAGAAGGAAGTATCAACAAAGATCTAAACTTCCGCGGGAAAATGGGTAAAAATGGCCTCTCAGTGTTGATATTACGCAAAATGACTGCAGCTCTTCAGAAGATATACACATACTATACACATATACCATTGCCCTGGGCAGATGAAGCAGAAAGAAGAGAAACACGTCTTTTACTTCAGACCTGTAGGGAATGAAGCTCCAGACAGGATCATCGAAGGCCCCTGGCTGAACTCCAACAGAACGAAGACTGGCCCGTACCTCGGCTTTTCAAAGAGCCTCCCCCATCTCAGAGAAACCATTTAGCCCAGTATCTAGTGCATAACCATATTTCTCTTGGAAGGAACGAAGGCTGGCTTATATGTGTAGGCGTTACGTATTTATTTGCAAGGACTTTAAAAATTTCCTCCACCCATGCTTCTCATGTCAAGGAGGAGGCCAAGTGGTGCTTTGGCATTCCCCAGTGGCACCTTCTCCAAGTCCAAGGACGTCTGGACCCTGCTGTGTCACGCTCCTGGGAAGGAATGAATCATCCAATAGTGACAGACGGTTTCCTCTGGAAACAGACCAAGCTTACCCAAATAGTTGTTGCTCTTGTGCATCTCGGTGATGTTGATTTTGGTGGCTCCTTGGGGAATCTCGACCACTCGGTGGTAGCCCAGGCTGGTGAGGGCGTGCTTGAACACGCCTGACACAACCTGACAGCCCGTGTTGTCGCCTCCGCACACCCCGCACTTGTCCACCACTTTGTCCGAGCCCAGGTAGTCGTCACAGCCAATGCTCTGCCGAGAGGTGGAAAACAAAAGACTTGGAGCACATCGCAGGAGCATGGGGGGAGATGGGGAGAGGGGGCGATGGAAGATCTATCGGTGGGTCTCGCACTGACCTCCCTCCTGCCCCCATTCAGCTCCTGCAGGTGTCCAAGTGCATTCTTTCCTCACTTGACAGAGTCACAAAGCACCCACTCTGGGCCAGCAACTTCTTCACACGGTATGTGTGAAATGTACACTCTAGGGGCAGGGGGCAGGCCACAAACAGCAAACAGGACAAGTAAATCAAACGGTATGCTTGGTGGTGGAGAAAGATAGGAGAAAAATAACGTAGAGAGAAAGAACAGGGAGGGGCTGGGGACGGGCCACTTGTTTACACTGGTTGGACAGGGAATTTGTCCTGCAAATCCATCCCCCTGTTGGGTTCAGAGGAGAGATCATTTGGGATTTTTTTTTTTTTAAGATTTTATTTATTTACTTGTGAGAGAGAGAGAGAGAGAGAGAGAGAGCATGGGCAGAGGAAGCGGCAGGGGGAGCGGCAGAAGGAGAAGTAGACTCCCCACAGATGAGGGAGCTTGACGTGGTGCTCATTCCTGGGACTCTGGGATCACGACCTGAACTGAAGGCAGACACTTAACTGACTGAGCCACCCAGGTGCGCCCCCCCTCCAATCTGGGATTTTTATATAAAGTTCTGTGGGACCATGATGAGTACTGCATCTAAAATTGGGGTTTGTCCCCAAGTCCTGCATTCTAAATGACAGACTGTATAAACATTTAACAAAGTACTCTCAGAAGAGGTACTCACAGGCCCAATGTCTTAGGAAATTAAATCAAATTGGTTGAGATCTGGGTCTCCACTGGTCACTGGGGCTCTGAAGAGCCTGGAGCAGCAGGATTTTGCTTGGCTCTCTCAAAGCATATTTCCCAGGGGAAAAGGGGGAAGGGAGGCAATGGCCAGAAACATCAGCAAACCCCATGATCCGCATCTAAATAAATAACGGGGTGGTCCTTGTTCAGACAGGCTTATTGGCATTTAAAGGAACTCCACTGACCTTCCTGAATTTCCTCCAAAAAGGATTCTTCCCATTACTCATTCTAAGATCTTTTAGCTTTATCATGACCCTCCCTGTTCATGTTTTCTGTTGGGGCAATTTTATTTTGCATGACAAAAAATCAAACCTTGGGAACAAAGTGCAAGATCATTATCTTTATGCCATCCTTTCCCACTGCTGAAGCTGATTTCATAGGGCTCACAATAATGCTTCCTGAATCTAAAATTTGGACATGTGGTCTGAGCAAAGAATTCTGTCACATTTCTATGGGCCGATGGAAGGGAGCAGATGATAGCCTGGACAGTGAAGTACCAGGATGACAGGATTAGTTCACTGGGTTCTGGGGATCAGGAATGATACTTGAAATCAGAATGGGATTCTAAAACTTGAGACACATGTTTGCTGAAATCACAGGTTTGTGTTGGTTCTCGAATTCTAAGAGCAATCATCAGACCACATCTCAGAGGGCAAAGTGGTCAATGAACCATTCAAAATCCACTTTTGATTTTGTGAAATACCCCTGGGTCTGTTCATGCGGGCCCTACAGGTCAAATCCTATATGCAGAGTCAAATCAGAAGGTGTTCAGGCTTTCCGCTCCAACCTCACGCTTGACGCTGACAGCTTTCTGTAGGCACTGTACCTCTGCATTATTATTTCCATATTCCTGAGGGCACATCAGCCCATCAATAATAACTGGTCTCTCTTCACAAATAGCTTCTCTGTAAAACATTATTTCTGACAATAACAGAACATCATCTCAATATGTTCATCCACATCCAATTAATCTTTCAAAATGCCATGTTTGCTATGTATTTCTCCTCCCTCAAATATTTCTTGCCCCTGCCCCATGCACATTTTAGTGGAAAAATAAGGAAAATGTTTTCCATGCATGATTTCCATCCCTGACCCCTTGGGTTTCTCCTTGGCTTTGAAAGAAAGCAAGACACAAACAAAACGCCACATTGCCAAAGCAAGATTCTCATCAAATTAAGGACATGCGTCTGACTGACACCGATGGGGAAGATGGAGACAAGTGTGGGTCGGCACACTGTCCCTGCCCTGTCCAGCAAAATCTCACCCTCCTTCCTTTCCATTCCTGCTACCCCCTGGATTCAGTTTGTCCCAGACCGAGCTCATCCTCATGGGGCACTCCAGTAAAGGGAACGCTGTGCACAAGGCATGAAGTAGGAAAGAACACTTAGGGAGCAGGAAAACATGTTCGAGGAATGACACGGCTCAAGTGTAGGGTTGTTGGGAGGGATGAAGTCAGGCTGGAGAATTCAGCTGAAGTGTTGAAGAATCTTGGTTGCCAGGATGAAGAATGAGAATTTTATCTGATGGCATCAGCAATAACCATTGGATGTCTCAAGAAAGGGAGGGCCGTGCTCGGATTTGTTCTCCAGATGATAGTTCTGGCTGCTGTGGAGAGGTTCCCAGAGTGGGGAGAACAGACAGGCTAGTGAGTCTCTCTCTTCTAAACAGGGTGTCAGGGATAGCTCAAGGACAAAGGAGAGCTGTCGAAGACGAGGAGAGACATCCCACGAATCCTCAGCCCTCAGCCCAATCAGAATGGGATGATCACAAGGTTGGCCTCAGACAACCACAGCCAGGCTAAATGTCGTTTTATCTTGTGAAACAGATATTACATTAAAATGCTCTGCACAGTTCCATGAATGCCACCCCCACATGCCAGACTTCCGGAGTAGAGCACGGCCGCTCCGGAGGAATCTAGATGTGGGGAGGGAGGGCTGTAGCAGTTTTTCCTGACTGACGTCCAAATGGCCTGGAAGTTGGCTTCAGCGAAGTGTGTGACCTGCCAAGTGCTGCCAAGAACTAAAGGTGACATCCTGTTTCCTCGGGGCTGGATGGTCACTTCCTTCTGGGGTCGGCACGGAAAACATCTCCACCACCATCCAGATCTTTCAGGGGACGACGCCCAGAAATGAATGGGGCCTGAATCCTGGCTTATACCTTAGGAAGCTGGTCAGTTGGTCTCTGATGGGCATGACTTAATAATGCTGGTCTGTATCTCCAAACTCAGAGGTGCCACCCAAGGGCCATCCGTGGGGACTTCAAGTGGGCACTACAGTCTGCTGGACCCGGGTTTTGTGCTGGCTCTGCCACTTAGGAGCGCTAATCTTTGGATGTGTTAATTAGCCATCCTGAGCCTCTGGTTCTTTGTGGCTGGGGAGGGTATGGTGTCTATCTCACAGCAGTGCTGGGAGGATCTAATGAGGTAAATATTGAAGGCATATAGCAAAATGCTTATATAGGATGGCTTCTCAGAAAACATGGGGTTTTGTTAATTATTGCTTTCATATACTGGATTTCATTGGGAACCTATCCATTTTTAAGTAAATTCCATCATCACGTAACCACAGACCCACTCCTATTTCTAGAACACTCTCTAGTGCTTCTCAGTCACAGATATTCTCTTCTTCATTTGGAGGAAGTCAGAAAAATCCAAAGAGCTAAGAAAGGGCCAATGTTCACCATAAGGGTAAGGCACATTGCGTGGCCCCTTCACCCTTCCTGTTCCAACAGCACCTCGTGAAAAGGGACAGGATGAACATTTGCTCCTCGATCTACATTTCTTTCATTTTTTTTTTTTACCATGTACTGTGGTTCAAAAGAGATATTTCTTGCTGTTACAAAGGCAATTGGACAACTATCAGACATCCTTAGTATTCTTCCAGTGATTTCTGCAACATGTTGTAGGAAAATTTTACACGTTGCAAGCCATCACAAGAGAAATTGCTCAAGAATTGCCCTCAATTGTGTGCCAAAATTAACCTAAATGAAATTTCCTGAGGGAAATGAGCAATCCGCGTGACGTATCTGGTGGTGGATTTCACTGGGAGGAGGCCTCTGTACATCATGGCAGGGTAGGCCGGTGCTGGGCGTGCAGATAGTGGAGCTTCTGATTCCCTAATGGGAAACAGATGTTCCTGTGTGTGCTCACTAAACACACCAGATACGGCAACCTCAACTGGTTGGCTAGATGACACGGACAGGTAACACAACGTGCCTTAATAATCATGCTGTCACAACAGTGTGGGAGAATGTTATGATTAAAATGATTAGTATCTAACACCAATTTACTTTTATTTGCAGTAAGCTAATTCGTGGAAATACATATGGATGCCAAAACCTTTATTCATGACATTCTGTTGGAAGAAATCCTTTGCATAATGATAAATATCTCCCTCTTATTACTGTTAGGAATGCACATCAATACCACCTTCCTGGAAAGCCATTTAGTAATATAAGACCCTAATTCTTCTTCTAGGAATTTATGCTAAGGAAATAATAAGAAATTAGGCCAATGATTTCTGTAGGAAGCAGCTCATCACATTTGTTATTATTAATTTAAAAAATCAGAAACATCCTAAGTGTCCAACATAGAAAAACAGTTAAACAATATATAGAAATTCTCTGGGAAATGCTGGATGGGTCTTCCCCCATTGTTATTCTTTTAAAATCTGCTAACACTTATGCCTACACGATTGACCCTCAATATAGTTCAGGAACTATTTCCTGAGGCAACCCCTACTATGTGCCAACAAGGTGTAGGCAGGGAGACATGAGGGTAAAACAAACAGGATTCCTACTTATGGTCTAAATCAGTGGTTGGCAAATGACAGTCCACAGGCCAAATCTGGCCCACAACCTGTTTGCTGTAAATAAAGCTTTATTAGAATACAAACATGCCCATTTGTTTACTTATTGTCTAGGGCTGCTTTTGTGCTATAACAGCAGGGTTGAATTGTTGTGACAGAGATAGTATGGCCCACAGTGCCCAAGATATTTATGATCTGGCACTTTCTAGAAAAAATGCTAACCTCTGGACTAAACCGGAAGGTGGACATGATCCCATGATTCAGTATATCAAGGTGGGAGGGAGATGTGCAGAGCCTTGTGTGGTCAAGACTGAGGCTCAGGCTGATGCTTCCAGAT